GGCGTATTAATTGATCGAGATATTAATCGTGGATAGCGACGAAGTTTTGTTGTAATAAGTAAATAGTTCTTACTAGCCATCGTAGCTTGAAAACAGTTTAGGTTGTTAAGATTAATTTGCCTTGCTTTTTTCATAATTAAGGCTTCGAAATTCATTACGCGAATATTTTGTTCTTTTACTTACTTGCAATTTTAAATTCAACTTTTTATAATCATAAAGCGGGAGAGAGGAACCCTTTCGACTTGCGGAAAGCATTTTCAGACTTCCCGGTCGTTAGCCCTCTACCTTCCCAGAGCGCCGCGCGATGACCTTGACCGGGGCTTCCTTCCTCCCCCTTTCAAATCGGTTCTTGACTATGATTTTTTCCCCCATTTTTCTCCTAACTGGCTCTTCCCTAAGGCAATTTTTGATCGGTGGGAAAGGAAAATTCCACATCGTAATGTTCCCACACTTTCATTTTACAGCTCTTTGAAAAAAAAAAAAAAAAAAAAAAGGAAAGAATAAAAAGAAGAGAGAGAGAGAAAGAACCGTTGTGGTTGGCTTTTATATTCTGTCTTCAATTACAATTTTCTTTTGAATCTGCAATATGTGGGTTAACTGTTTTAAAAATATTATTTAAATTCAGGCTGTTTTATCCTTTGATTTGAATATTGAAAGGCAGCATCTTTAAAAGAACTTTTGTTGTATTTACCTGAATCATTTTCATGTAATTTTAGGATGTTCTTAAAGGGAGTGCATATTGATCTGCTACTAACTTTGATAATATACTTCTCAAATCTAACAGCAGTCTTCCTAACAAACTGTGTTATGAGTGTTAAATTCAAGATGAGAGGAAAGAAAGTCTTTTTAAATAAGACATTATTGAAGTTGCATGTGTCTTTAATGTATGAGCTTACATTATGTCTTCATCTTCATCATTGTAATTTTTTAAAAAAGTTTTAATTTTTAGCTCAAAGGGCCAATCTGCCCAGAAGGGCTACTAATTTGGTTTTGGCATTTTGCGCTGGTTCACCATGAATGACATTTCACTTTTCAAGTTGTTGCTTCCAAATATTAGAGCCCTGTATTATATAATGAAGAATCTGTATGTGTGAAAAACTGGGGGAAAAAAAAAAAAAAAAAAAGGTACATACTGTGAAAAACAATGGTGCCCAGAGACATAAAATTTTGAAAAACATAGCCATCCACTCAAATACGAGCATCTGAAAGTCTGACTTTGGAATTTGTTTTAGCTACTTCATATTTTGTAAAACTTTAATGAATTTGTGATTAACTAACTCAGCAATTTCAAAGTGAGCAATGGCAACACTGTACTGCGGGGGGGGGGGGATTATCTGTTTATCAGAAAGAGACTGTTTATCAGAAATTCTAAAGATATGCTCTTTTTAAATTATTTTGTGATATTGTTGTAGAATTTAATTTTATGGTTTAAATGCGAAGAATGTGATATTTAATAAATAATTTATTTATGTAACACAAACGTTTAAAAAAGCCCTGTATTCTTTCTTTCTCTTGAAATGAAATTAAATGAAAGAAACTTCTTTGTATTTAATATTAAATACAAAATATGCCTAAGTCTGCATAAAAATAAATTTTCTAAAAAACATAAGTGTATCAGTGATTTCATAAAATTATGAAATATTTTAGACTAGTTTTTGTAATGTGCCATTAGTTCAATTTTTATTCCCTTAGCTGCAATGAAATTCTAGTTCAGATATCTTATTAGATCATTGTACAGGGTGGCATGTGGCAGACACATGTATTTGAAAAGGTCATTGCTTTATTCCCAATGGTTCTAGAGACTTAAAAGGGATGTGGTTCTAAAGAGGAAGAGAGGAGGTAGTTTCCCCAATAAAGGTTAATTCCCAAGATGGAATAGTTCGTGAAGCAATGTGCGTTTTGTGTGGAAGCCTGTTTCTCCAACGTCCACTTGATCATCTGTATCCAGCGTGCCTTCTGTTTGAAGTTCAATATGGCCCCTCCCCCAGTTGAGTTCCCGAACGAAATCTAATTCTCACGTGGGTTAATGCCTTCAGGGATAGTGAGAGTGTGTCCACGATAAGAGGGTGCCTCAGAGAACTGTTTCTAGCCCAGAAAACATCAAGAGGGTTCGAGCTGCATTTGAACAATCTCCCACACATTCAATTCATAAACAGACAGACGCCCTTGGCATTTCGAGACGTTCCATTCAAGAAAACATTAAAGAACACCTTCATTTACACCACTACAAGAAGGTTGTTGTCCATGGGAGTTTGAAGCACGAAAACATGCTTGCTGCATTGCCTCGAGATGGTATTGTTTTATTCTCTGATGAGGCACATTTTCACCTCAGCGGTTGTGTTAACAAACAGAATATGCGCTACTGGACAAACCCTAGGGAGCTCCACCAGAGGCTCTTACACTTTGACAGAGTCTGGTGTGCAGTGTTGAGGGCGCGGATCATCGGCCTTACTTTTTTGAAGAAAATGATCGATCGGCAGTGCGACCTGCACATTACCTGAACATGATCCAAGAATTTTTCTTGCTTGAACAGATGGACCTGGAAGATGTCTGGTTTCTGCATGACAGATCCACAGCCCATACAGCAAGAGTTTGCATGGACTTTTTATATGCGACCGATTTTCCAGACACCTCATCTCCCGACGAGGCGATTTAAACTAGATTTGTCCCCCTGTTATTTTTTTTCTTGTGGAGTTACTTAAAACCCCTTGTTTATAATAGATGTCCCAGGACCTTAGAAGGCTTCAAAGACAGCTTTTGTACCAATATCCCCTGAATTCCTGTTGAAATGCTGGAAAGAGTCCACGAAAACTTCAGACATGGTCATTCTTGAATATTTTGCATTTTATTGATTTTTGAAATCCATGCATCTGCCGCGCACCATTCTGTATGATGTATATCATTGATAAATTAGCAAGACTTTCTTCTAACATTGTTGATTTCAAATTATTTATTTATTTATTGCAGCTTTGATAAACTACTGTCCACAGTAGCCATTGATATAGTAATATAAAGTAAATATGCAGTACTATGGCAGTATTAGGAAACATACTGGATAATTTATTTTCACATATACCCCCATGATCACAAAAGTCCTCACTCATCCTTTATTTTTGAAACCGTTGATCATAAAGACGTACTTTCAGTTACAAAAATGTTTTAAATGACTCAAATATTTTTTCGGTGTTTTTAAATTTAAAGAAGCAGTTTTGTAAAAATTATGAAATCTTAGTGTGTTATATGTTCTTTCTTAAAATTATACAATCATGTGCAATATTAAGAGAATTTTCAAATTATGTCTATTTTTATTAAAAGTATTGAACCAAAAGTATTAATTATGTCACTGAAGAATTATGCAAATATTCAGAGTCAAATATATCATCATATTGACTCTGAATATATGTGTCTTTACATATGCATGTCTGCAATTGTGTAATTGTGGAAGGAATAAAAGTGAAAAGGGTTTTTCGACGATCTGTGCGCTCATACTTCTTCATGACATTAGCTTTGTTTCTTGCAAGTGCTCAGTAAATTTTATAAGGTATCGTGTAAAATAAGTAGTAGCCATGAATATAAGAATAATGGAATGAGTTGTAGATTATAAGCAGGCCACTCAGAAGTGTAATGCACAATATCATCTGCAATTTGTGGGAAAATGTTCAAGGCGCTGAATCTACACCAAGAAGACTTGAATAAGGTTAATCGATATCAACAACAATGAATGAGGATTGTTATTTGGCTCTTTCAGTGCTGCAATACAGGACTGCTGCAGCTTCACAGCTATCACTTGAGCTGTATGCTGCCACTAGGATCTAAGTTTAATGGTCTACTGCTGCCCGAAGGTTTCATGAGATAGGGCTGTATGCCAGAAGCTTGCCATTTCCACCCCCCTCATTGCAACAGACAAGCTGTGCTTTTAACATGGTGCAGACAACATGTACCTTAGACCAGACTTCAGTGGAACCTTGTGTTTTTTTACAGATGAGTTGAGATTCACCTTAGATGCTGAGTCTTAGCATATTTGTATCTGGAGAGAGCTTGGAACATGATACCATCCTCCCTTATCCTGGAAAAGGATCATTATGGCACTGGAGGTGTAATGATTTGGGCAGACATTATGTTGGATAGCCACACACTCCTGCATGTATTTGACAAGAGCTCCGTGACTACTATGAGGTATAGAAAGTGAACTAAGTGAAAGTACATATATAATACAAAACTGCATGTCATCTGAAATCCAGTACTTCTTAAGGAAAGTGAGGCATCAATATCTAGTATCAGTATCAGTTTTACTAACTTTTAAACAAATTGTTGATGTGTTGAAAACTAGCAGAGTTTTCTGTGAATATTGGAGTTCACTTCCACAACAAAGTATCAGATCTCATCTTATATCACTGCACTCTTGGCTGGAGATAAATTTTTACTTAAAGTTGGGAAGTATTGGAACTGGGTTCCAGTAAGCTTCAGTTGAATTTAAGCCCTGATAATGATTGCATTAAAATAAATCACAGAAGCAGACTCCTGGTTTGCATTTGAAGTAATCTTCAGCTTCATTATTCTTGTTCATTAAGGCTAAATTTTCCATCCTGCATCGTCTTTTGATCATCAGAGAAAGATACATTTTCATATATATTTTAAAGAATTTTCCTTATATAATGATTAATATGTTTTAGTTCCTTATGCTTGATTAACATCTTCCATAGTGTATTAGTTATTAGATGCTGAAATATCACTTCCATTCATTTAGGTTGATGCCATCACTGCTTCTTTCAAGTCCAGTTTAATAGAATTCAATCTTACTACCATTTCATGTAGTCATTCCTCAGTTAATTGTTTTTATTTAGATCTATACTGTAACTGATTTGCTCAAATATGTATAAAGAGCATTCAATATTTTAATATTATGAACGTTTTTTGCTAATTAACTTTTTTAGCATCTACATCATTGCGAGGTTATGTTAAACTCTTTTTTCTAATTTATGCTGTTTCATTTCTTTTAGAATGAAACTGTTGAAAACTCCGAAATAAGTGAAAATACCATTACTGTTAGAAACAGCATTGGAAATTGTGGCTCCATCACAGCTAGTGCTTCTGGCCCTCATACTACAATAAGTTTGATAAAACCTGCCTCTCCTTCACCATATATTCCTCTCTCTCAGGCTAATGCCTCTGACCGTCCACCTGTTGCTCACAGTGCCCTATATGGTAAGTAAATTGTTATTCTCTCTTTTTTTTTTAAAACACATATATATTTCATAGTATTTGAGATAGAATTTTTGAAGTTTAAATGTTAATCTGATTTAAGACACTGGGTTCTTTTGTTAGGAAAGTAACTGAAGTATCTTGCTCACATGCTAGTGCTGGTTATATATTATTGGATATTTTGCTTTGCTTGAATTCAATGTTTGCACTGTTCATTTGTTTACTAGTGGAATTCAGCTTATTCGAGACAAGCAGATAAATAAAACATCAGAGTTTTTACCTTGTTAAAGCATAATTCATGCTGCAAATGTAAGGAACACGATCATTATTATTTTATTAGCACATAAAAATACAGATTTATTAGGTATGAGAAGAAAAAATATTTAGCGATGGTACAAGCATTTTCTACTGTTCATGGCAGAATGTGTAAGAATGAGTCATACAAGAAGAGAACTTTCTCCTTTTTTTGGATGAAGTCCAATTCCGGTTAGCAGGGGGAAAGTAACATCAGAGGGTACAGCTTAATCGCTTTCATTTTCAATTGCTCTACTGCTTGGTGTGAGAAAATCAAGAACAGATCTCTGTGGAATGGTATCAGTAACTGCTGTGTGATTTAAAGAATCCAGTTCACTACATTAAGCTAAATTAATAGAAGAGCATAAGTATAATATCATCATGTTATTTAGTTTATCTGGAAAAATTTTTAAAAGCTGTATGCTGAGGAGAATGTATTGGCTTATTACCTATCCTTTGAAAGGAAAGATTTTTTTTCTGATGGACAATGCATTTCCATCAGCCGACCTTTGGAATAATATTCTGAATAATATACTGATGGAATCAGTATATTATTCAGAAATATACTCATGTTCAAAATTAAGAGAATTGAGTTATGTCTGTTTTTATGAAAAGTATTAAAACAAAGGTGCTAATTAGGCCACTATAGACTTGTGCAAATACATAAGAATCAAATTCATAAGTGTACACTTGCGTGTCTGCAGAGTTGGGATTGTCGAGAGGATATAAGCATCTGGGGAGTTTGGGGCAGTTTGCATGCTTGTACTCCTTCATGACATTTGGCATTTTTCTTGGCAGAGTGTAGCAAATTTTATAAGGTATCAGGTAACATGAGTAGCCACAAAGATATGAATGATGGAATGAGAGAGCGAATTGTCGGTTGGAGACAGGCTAGTCACAATCACAGATTGCTGTAGACTTCAGTGTAACTCCATTGTTCTCTGGTATTTGTGGAAACAGTTTTAGGACACTGGATCCATGTTAAGAAGACCTGGACAGGGTCGGCAAAGATCCGCAACAGTGGATGAGGCTCGTTATTTAGCATTCTCAGTATGGCGACACAGAAGTGCTACAACTTCACAACTCTCACGTGACCTGTTGTTGCCTCTGGAAAATAAATTTCACAGTCTACATTTGCCCAAAGGTTTCATGAGGCAGGGCTGTATAATAGAAGGCCTACTTTTTACATCTTGCTCATTGCAGCATACATTTTAGTGTATTTAGCGTTATGCAGGCATGTGCCTTAGAGCAGACGTCAGTAGAGCATCATGCTTTTTACAAATGAGTTGAGATTCTGTCTGATTCTCCATATACCTGTATCTGAAGAGAGCCTGAAACACAATACCTTCCCTCCCTTATCAAGGAAAAGTATCATTACAGTGGTAGAGGTGTAATGGTTCGAGAGGCATTATGTTGGATGGCCCCACATCTCTGCATGTATTTGAGAAGGCTCCCAGACTGTTCTGTGGTATGGAGAGAAGATCTCAGAGTGCTATGTTCAACTTTTCAATGCATTTTCAAGCGCTATATCTTGACGAAAGTAACTAAATCTGATTGTTTAACTGAGTAAACAACAATATCTATAACATCGTTGCCAACAGCTACTAAGGGCACAGTTATTTGTATGGTTTTTTATAAATTTTGTTTTTGAGAAAGAAATAGATTTAAGAAAAAAATGTTTCAATAACCACAGATGTTGCTTAATAGATAGTGACCAGAAATAGTGGTTTATGAGTTTATTTCAAACATACGCTGTCCGGTTCTTGAATTCTTCTACATTAATATAGCAACAAGCCTTGTGTGCAAAGGATGGTTTCACCTAACTGGCTAATATAATGACTGTAGTCACAAAAATAGAGAATGCCATATCGTCTTTAAATAAATGAAAGAAATATGGAGTTTAAAATTAAAATTTTATTGAGTTGATTTGAGAGACTGTATTTCTAAATCAAATGGAAATTCAAATGAATGTGATGCAATTTTACGCCAGACTAGAAAGAACTATTTTTCAGTGTTCAAAGACAGGATTTTTTTCGTTTCCCACCTTTTACTGATTAAATGTGTAAAATGAAATATATGAAAATCTTTTTTAATTCTTGTAGTTTTAGTTAAATGAATTGTACTTTTTTTTTTTAAAGTTTAAAAAAAAATAATATTTCTGCTTGTACATGACTTAAGTTTGAACATTGCAGTTTTTCAAGGAACAATTGAAATTAGTGTACTCGAATGACATAGAATATAAGAATGATTATAGCCAATTTAAATAAATTTCTGTTTGTCAATTTTCATTTAAAGTTTTCCCTGCTTTATATTCCGTATAA